AACTGGAGGAAATCAACTGGGATCGAGTTCCTACCTGGGAGTTCTGGGATCTGCTGCTCTGCTGCCGGAGTCTCCGCTCTGGAAAAGAATTCAAAACCATTTCAGGACCAAGGTTCCCAACCTGCAGCTCGGGAACCACATGTGGGCCGTTAGCCTGCAGAAAGCGGCCTCCATGTAGACAGAAAACCATGAAGACTGGCCGTCCGTCCCCCTTGTCCCGCCCCCGTCCCCATGTCTTACTGTGTCTGGTCGTCTCTCTCTGCGGTTCTTCATCCTCTGAAACAGGCAGAACAGAATCCAGTCAGTTGTTCCTCTGGAAACCTGCTGCTGGTTTTCTGATCAGGTTTTTTGTTGACAAAATGATTATTGGCTTTTCTCTGTCGGTTCATTCATGGATGATTATTTGTTTTCAACATTTACAGCTGAGTTGCATCTGGAGCAATCAGCACTTTTATGAGCTGATTCAGAAAATCAAAAACCAGAAGACAGAGAGTGCTGCAGCGAGTGCTGCAGCTAGTGCTGCAGTGAGTGCTGCAGAGAGTGCTGCAGTGAGTGCTGCAGAGAGTGCTGCAGTGAGTGCTGCAGTGAGTGCTGCAGAGAGTGCTGCAGTGAGTGCTGCAGAGAGTGCTGCAGAGAGTGCTGCAGTGAGTGCTGCAGTGAGTGCTGCAGAGAGTGCTGCAGAGAGTGTTGCAGAGAGTGCTGCAGTGAGTGCTGCAGTGAGTGCTGCAGAGAGTGCTGCAGTGAGTGCTGCAGCGAGTGCTGCAGTGAGTGCTGCAGCGAGTGCTGCAGAGTGCTGCAGAGAGTGCTGCAGTGAGTGCTGCAGAGAGTGCTGCAGTGAGTGCTGCAGTGAGTGCTGCAGTGAGTGCTGCAGAGTGCTGCAGAGTGCTGCAGTGAGTGCTGCAGTGAGTGCTGCAGTGAGTGCTGCAGTGAGTGCTGCAGAGAGTGCTGCAGAGAGTGCTGCAGCGAGTGCTGCAGAGTGCTGCAGAGTGCTGCAGTGAGTGCTGCAGTGAGTGCTGCAGTGAGTGCTGCAGAGAGTGCTGCAGAGAGTGCTGCAGAGAGTGCTGCAGCGAGTGCTGCAGAGTGCTGCAGAGTGCTGCAGTGAGTGCTGCAGAGAGTGCTGCAGAGAGTGCTGCAGTGAGTGCTGCAGTGAGTGCTGCAGAGAGTGCTGCAGAGTGCTGCAGTGAGTGCTGCAGTGAGTGCTGCAGAGAGTGCTGCAGTGAGTGCTGCAGTGAGTGCTGCAGAGTGCTGCAGAGAGTGCTGCAGAGTGCTGCAGCGTGCTGCAGAGAGTGCTGCAGAGTGCTGCAGTGAGTGCTGCAGTGAGTGCTGCAGAGAGTGCTGCAGAGAGTGCTGCAGTGAGTGCTGCAGTAAGTGCTGCAGTGAGTGCTGCAGTGAGTGCTGCAGAGAGTGCTGCAGAGAGTGCTGCAGTGAGTGCTGCAGTAAGTGCTGCAGAGAGTGCTGCAGTAAGTGCTGCAGAGAGTGCTGCAGAGTGCTGCAGCGAGTGCTGCAGCTGGTACCCGGTGGATCAGGCCCATGTGTTCCTCAGAGCTGCTGAAGTTCCTGGCGATGTCAGAGATGCAGAGCGCCTCCTGCTGGCAGCTGCGGACCCAGGCCTGGTATTCCCACGTCCCGGGAATTCTGTCCAGGAAGATCCGGAAAGCTTCCCACACGGCCTCCTGGCAGACTGAGCAGAGGACAGAACAACCAATGAGAAGCTTTCTTCAGGTTCCTGGTGGTCGCTATGGCAACACCAAAAACAAAGTGACCCTTACTTTGAAACGTTGACACAAAATGTCCATTTTGACAAACATCATTTCCAGAAAGTTTCTTGATTGCTCTGTTATTATTACTTATTATTATTGTTGTTATTATTGATTCATGCTTCACTGTTTAGGAACTGAGAGATTGAGTTGCTTGGTTCATTGCCAGGTTCTGATTGTTGCCCACTGCTAGCCTGGTTAGCTCTTAGCTAGCCTGGTTAGCTCTTAGCTAGCCTGGTTAGCTCTTAGCTAGTCTGGTTAGCTCTTAGCTAGCCTGGTTAGCTTATTGAGGTTCCCACATCCTCAGTAGCAGCAGCGTTTGCTGCTTCAGGCTGTAACTGGTAATCTAACACTTTACCTGCAGGACAAAAAAGTGGGACTGAAGTTTCTGATTTAATATCTGAGGTGAAAAGAGTGAATTGAATCAGTTGTGGAAGAGTTTTGGCACATCAGACAGAATTCTCCCTGATGGAGTTGAGCAGCAGGAAGAGACTAAAGCAGGAACCTGATCAGCTGGTGAAGCTGCTCTCATCATATGGCATCATGCTGAGGCCAGACTCCAGCACAAGGCTGATTTAAAAGGACAAACCGATATGAAGGTCTGGGATATGATCATGTCTATGTACAGCAGGAGTGCCACAAGGCTGTGCATTAGGCCCAGTTCATTAGAAGCAAAACATGACAGGTAAAAACAAACGAGAGAACGTTGGAGCCGCTCGGCCTCAGGGACTGGTGCTCCCTAAACCCGGCACACGCCAAACAAAGGGTTAGAGAATGAATGCATGAATCCCTGGCCCACAGAACCAAACTATTACAGTTTCCTGATTGGTCCGTCGAGGCTTCCTGAGTGTCTGAGATCCGGGTAGTTTCATCTTTTACCTCTGAGTTGGTAGTAGGCCTGGTGGCTGGCCAGAACTTCGTCGACGCTCTCCTGGGAGCAGATTCTCACTCCAGGCTGCAGAAACACCGACCGCCGGGATCGGTGCCGGCTCGGCTCCCAGGCTGAAGGTCTGCTGGATGATTTCAGGAGGTCAGCCAGACCCAGCGTTCCTCCAGACTCCACGCTGTGCGCCGCCACGCCGCCACCTGCTGGTGACAGGAAGTTATCTGGTCAGCGTGAGAAACCAGAGACCAACCAGCAGGGCTCCCTATGCAGCAACAAGCTACTCAGCAACAAACAACCGAGCCTGTGCAGCAACAAGTCTCCAGGACAGAGAAACGTAGACAAGAAATGTGTAAATTTGTGCTATAGAAACCAGAGATTTATATTTTTTTGCAACCGCGACTCAAACTAAGTCTTCTTGTAGTCAGAAGTCCTTTCTCCTCACTGAGATGAAGGTTAAATAGACGGTCCATCATTACGAAGGAGGTTCTGGTCCAAATTGTTTGGTTAGGGGACCATGGAGAGACTGGGTGTTGGAAAGGAGGCGGCGACAGATTGTTGAACCAGGGGATCAGAGGAAACATCTGGCTAACATCCTGCGTACGGACCGGTGGACCAGATCTTTACCCACTCAGAACCGCCCAGAAGGTCCTGCAGTCCGGTCTGCGTGTGTTCTGTTGATGCAGGGAAGGATGTACTTGGGATGGATGGAAGACCATCTGGTCCAAACTCCTGACCTGATCTCACAGCAGTTTGGGTCTTCATAGTTCTCAAACTGTGGTCTGGAAAAGGACATTGTTTGGTTTATGATCTGTAGTTTATGCAGAGGAAGTGGTTCTGTTGGCTCCTTTGGGTCAGGACCCCTGGGGTCAGTGAAGCAGGACCCAGATGTGAGAAGCAGCAGGGATGAGAGCCAGAAGCTGTTTCCTGGTTGTCTTGGAGAATTGTGAAGACTTCCTAGGACAAAGAGAAACCCGGTTCTATTGTCCTTCAGTCAAACAACCAAACCTTCTGCTCTTGTGAAGGAAGTGTTGGCCTGAAGTCCGAGCCGGGATCATTCTTCCTCTCCATGCACCCATGGGAGTCTTTGAGGTTCTGCCAGAAACCTTTGGATCTCAGGGTTCTCAACCAGAAAAAAGTGAATTGGATGATGATTGAACAAGAGCCGCTTGTTCTCCGTTTGTCGACAGGCTCTTCCCCGCGGCCACGGCGAGGCAGACGGAGCAGGAGACCTGCAGCTGGAGGTTCGATTCATTCGTTCATCTGACATGACTGGAGAGATCAGGTAGGCCAAGGTAGGGCGACTCGAACCCCCAATGCTACTAGTTTGGGCTGACAGAAGTTACTCTATGACTTTTCGCCCCTGATGGCCAGAGTGAGGTACAGTCCTGAATGTGAAACTCCATCATGTCTTTTTTTATTCTCTCAATGTTTGTCTGAAGAGCAGAACTGTATGTTCAAGTTAATGAAGGTTCTCCAGTTTTCTCTCATTTCTCTTGTTTCTGCCTTTAGGGTTACAGTAGAAAGTTTCTCTTCATCAACTTTTCATCTCGGCAGCAGTGAAGAACACCGATGGTGGAAAACGAGGTGTGCAGCGTTTCAGTGAGAGTGTTATCTGTGTCCATGAGTGGAGAGCAGTGAGTGAAGTTCTGCATCATTACTGCCTAAAAGGGTTCGGGTCTGACTCCTCATGGCCACTCCAACTAAAAATAACAGCACTGGCTGCTTTTCAAGGGTGCTTGCAGCAAAAGCATCTGTTAAACAAGAAGCTTCAGCTTACACAACCAGAGTGGAGCCGATCCCCACCGGCAGGTAAAGGCTCACTCTGCCCGTCTTTGGAAGAAGACAAAGTCTTTTCCTTTCCGCTGCGTCCATCACCTTCCTGACTCACCAGCATTATGCAACCCTAATAGGCTTTTCTTCGCATTGTGACCAAGTTTAGGCGTCTTCACTGAAGCCTTTCTTCTTATCTAACCCTTTAGCCTGTAGATTTGATTTGTTCTGTACCCGATTAATAAACTTTGTGCATCAGATGGAACGAGCTTTACCTCTGATTGCGGCTGCTGGTGACGTGACGGCCAGCAGCACCAGGAGTCCAGCAGCCTGAAGCATGGTGGCGCCGACGAGCCTCTGAAATGTGACCAGAAACGAGGCGGCGGTCCCGATCAGAGGAAGTTCATGGAAGCCGTCCGCCAGGCGTGGAGGGAGGCGAGTCAGAGCGCGGTGAAGAGGCAGCAGGCGAATCCAGGAGCAGAGCGGCGTTCCGCTCCCAGAGCTGGACGTGTGGCAGGACTGATGAGGTTAAACGACTGTTTCTGGAATAATCAGTTTATCTGCTGCTCAGACGTAATCCTGCTTCACCCTGTGGCCCTGCAGGCAGCCATCATCCTGTTAGTGGCTTTCTGAGGGCAACTGTCACGGCCTCTGCTCCCCCGCTGGGCCGGTACCGGCCTCTGATCCCCCGCTGGGCCGGTACCGGCCTCTGATCCCCGCTGGGCCGGTACCGGCCTCTGATCCCCCGCTGGGCCGGTACCGGCCTCTGATCCCCCGCTGGGCCGGTACCGGCCTCTGATCCCCCGCTGGGCCGGTACCGGCCTCTGCTCCACCACAGCTTCCCCAGCAGCCCTTACTGGGCGCACTGGGTTCCTGTCTGCTCGTGTCTCTGCTGTCAGGCTCAGCAGCAACTGATGAAGGCTTAAAGCCTCACTTCAATGCACTTTCATGCTTTTGCAACAAATCCAATAAGTCCCAAAGCCACTTGAGTTTAAAGTGTCACAGAAGAGCTGCAGACAAATCAAATGATTGTTTCCAGAGTAAACAGGAATCTGCGTCTGACAGGTAATAAAACCTGAGAGAAACATGTTCAATTATTCATCCTGGACTCTGCAACGTGTTCATATCAGCAGCTGCTGCTTCACTTCAGGAGGCAACACCCAAACTCAACAAGGTTTCTGAGTTTCTAGTTCAATTCATTCAAACGCTGATTCACTGATAATTCACTGATAATTAATTCAGAGTTAATTATGGTTCTGCTTTGCCTCAGTTTTCAATAGAGACAGTAGAAGTGACAGAATCTACAGAAAACTTGAATTTTCTCAACAAATAATGATTTTAGGTGAAGCAATGAACCCTGTTTGGTTTGGACCGCCATGTGTGAGCCACCCGCTCCATCAGAACCGTCATTCAGAGACCATCCAGGTCACAGAACCCGGGACTTCACTCAACACAGTGATCATACTTTAACACTGAGGTCTGTTCTCTGTTGGTTCCTCTGCTGGTTCTGCTGTTTTGTCCTTGTCATGATCATCTGATGAAGTGGGGAAAGTTGAAAGTTGACTCAGACTTCCTGCACTTTGTCCATTTTGGAGTTGCTGATTAGAACCAGTTGAAATCTGATGGTTTTTTCCCTGCTGCCAGGAAGCAGCTGCAGCTCTGTAGTAGTAGTGAGATTAGTAGTAGCTGCAGGGATTATTCGTCTGTAGTGGCTTCAGTTGATGCAACAGACCGACAGGAGCATTCATCACACCGACTGCCAGGTTCTGTTGGTTCAGGTTCTGGTTCTGTGGAGCTGCAGCCTTCAGGTCTTCATGTTGTTGGATGAATGAAATCTCCTCAGATGTTTCGGAGCAAAAAGATCTTCTGGGTGTTTTAAAGATTTTAGAATCCAGCTGCAGTCATCATACGGATTCATGAGCGCCACATTAACAACCTGGTTGGACTTTCAGAACCAGACCCAGACAGGAACAACAGGCAGTTAATGGGTTCAGTCTGGAACCTCAGCTGACCTTTGCCACTAAAGTAATCCTTTCAGCCGTCTGTTCAACTCGAGCAGCAACCAAACCTGTCCCTGATCCGCCTGTTTATTCTGAAACCCAACTCCACCCCATCGGTTCTATGACATCATTCCAAGAAAAATCCTGCAACTTTCAAGAAAATTCTGGAAAAGTGGCCTTTGGTAATGTTTAACCCAGGAATCCTGAGAAAATCCAGAGAAAATCCAGAGAGCCGGTGGTTCAAGGTCAAGATTAGTTGAAACTGTAACTTTTACTAGAGAAAGTTCTGCTCTGATTCCAAAGACGTCTGGGGAAAAACATCTTTCTGTTGGGCTGCAAGACGCAAGACTGCGCTGATGATACACAGCTCTACAGTAGCAGGTCACTAGGTGACCTTTGACCCCATCCAGGCACTAAACAGATGCTTAGAACAGATAAATGTGTGGATGTAACAAAGCCTTATCCAGCTAAACAGAAACAAAACTGATTATTATCTTGGGACCCAAAGCGGGGCGATCTAGAGTTCTAGATCTAGAGTCAACATACAGCTTCAGTTATTACAAAAAAACCGCCGATCAGGCCGAAGCCTGGGAGTAGTGATGACCTTTAACCCTAACCCACAGTGGGCCTTCTAGCAGCAGAACATTTCCAGAACCAGAGACTAAAGTCTCCGACCAGAGAAACTTTGATTCCTGCTACTGGTCCAGAACCCTGCTGGTCCAGAACCCTGCTGGTCCAGAACCCTGCTGGTCCGGAACCTGCAGCTGGTCCAGAACCTGCTGCTGGTCCGGAACCTGCTGCTGGTCCAGAACCCTGCTGGTCCAGAACCTGCTGGTCCAGAACCTGCTGCTGGTCCGGAACCTGCTGCTGGTCCAGAACCCTGCTGGTCCAGAACCCTGCTGGTCCAGAACCTGCTGCTGGTCCAGAACCTGCAGCTGGTCCAGAACCTGCTGCTGGTCCGGAACCTGCTACTGGTCCAGAACCTGCTGCTGGTCCGGAACCTGCTGCTGGTCCGGAACCTGCTGCTGGTCCGGAACCTGCTGCTGGTCCAGAACTTGCTACTGGTCTAGAACCTGCTGCTGGAGTTCTGACTAGAACCAGGAGGATAGAGACACCGCCTGGTTCTACATTATCTAGTTCTACACAGTTTAGAAATCATTGAAAGGGTTAAAGATCTGCTGCTGGTTCAGAGAAGCAGCATTCAGCTTCTATTCACCACAGATCTGGAACAAACTTCCATAAAACTGAAAAACAGCCGAAACCCTGAGCTTTTTTAAATCCAGGTGAGAACTCGCATCTGACCCGTTTCTTGGTGGAGAACCGGGACTCCACCTTCAGAGGGTGTCGACCTCCAAACCTCAGGAGGAAACCCGACCCGACCCGACCTGCTGCTGGGCCGGATGGTACCGGGCGCTGCTGCTCTGTGGCTTCGAAGCTCGGAGACTCGCAGCGCCGATGGTTTCTGGATTCCACAGAATATGTTGAATTCTCCAGAACCTCATCACCTCCAACCGACCCGGACTCGGGGCTCCGTCACACATACCGGGTCAGAACCTCCTGCTGGAGTCACTCTGATGTCTGGAGTTTGTTTCCTGAAGCGACCAACATTGGAGGGAGCTGCAGCTGCTGTTGTTCTGATGACTAATGATGTTTTTTAATTGTCTTTTTAATAATTTTCAAGTGGGCCTGTTTATAATATTTAACGGTCAGGAATCCTATTATGTTTTGGCCGCTCAGAGCCATTGCCTCCAAATAACGAAGCTCATCTGAGGCGTCATTGCAGCTGCAGATCCAGCGGCGCGTCTGTCAATCACTGCAGCCGGCGATGCTAACGGTCCCGTCGTCTTGTTTTCAGTCGGACATATTGTGACAGCAGTGACATCATCATTCACCACCAGAACTGTTTCACGGATCGGTACCGAAACTATTTGTTGTTAAAAGGTCAGCAGCACCTGCAGTTCTGTTCTGTTCTGGACCACTGGGTCAGGCTGATCCTCCAGTGACATCAGACTACAATATACTCAGAAAGCATGGTGTTCCTTTAAGGTAGTCGGGTTCTAGTTCTGGTCTGGTTCTCCTCCCATATCCAGCCAACATGTCCAACTGTCTCTGCTTGTCTGTCCGCTGCTGGTTCTTCTGACGTTCTGGTGCAGCACTTTGAGGTTTCTCTTTCTCCTCCTCCTCCTTCTTCTTCTTCGTCTAGGTTTTCTTTGGGGCTTCTCGGTCCAGAGACATGAACTGGACCGGCTGCTTCTGTCCTGAATGAGTCCTGCCTCTGATCTCCACGTCTGAGAGACGTTTAGCTCCTGGCTGTTTTCTGAGAGCAGAGGAATATCAGCGGGATGCTCCGTGATTTCTGACCTGCTCAGACACAAAACAAACTCATTTCTGTCATCAGAATAGATGGAGGGAGAAACTGCTGGCATATTGGCTTCTCTCCCCATCACTCCTGAATCGTGCATTTTACAGAGAGCAATTTCCTCCGCTGTTTGAGCGGCAGATATCTGCAGTGATTCAGCAGCAGCTTCCAGCTCTCAGCTCAGGATAAAGAGCTGCTGCGGTGGAGCCGCGCCGCCTCTTATCAGCCTCCTGCTGCCATCGCTGCGCCTCGGCTGCTGGACTGTAAATGTCAAGATATTGAGGAAGCTCTGGGAAGATGCCTGGAAAGGAAACTTTATCTGGGACGAAGTTATTTGATGTCCTGAATCGGCGTCCATGTTGAGCTGAGGACAGATAAAGACACCAAACATGGACGCCAATGAAACACGACGAGTTCTCATTAGATCATATTCCAAACATCCGACATTTATCATACAGGAGACCTGGGATGGAAGGAAGCAGGAAGGAGAGACAGGAAGCAGGAAGGAGAGACAGGAAGCAGAGACAGGAAGCAGGAAGGAGAGACAGGAAGCAGGAAGGAGAGACAGGAAGCAGGAAGGAGAGACAGGAAGCAGAGACAGGAAGCAGGAAGGAGAGACAGGAAGCAGAGACAGGAAGCAGGAAGGAGAGACAGGAAGCAGGAAGGAGAGACAGGAAGCAGAGACAGGAAGCAGGAAGGAGAGACAGGAAGCAGAGACAGGAAGGAGGAAGGAGAGACAGGAAGCAGAGACAGGAAGCAGGAAGGAGAGACAGGAAGCAGAGACAGGAAGGAGAGACAGGAAGCAAGAAGGAGAGACAGGAAGCTAAGACAGGAAGCAGGAAGGAGAGACAGGAAGCAGAGACAGGAAGCAGGAAGGAGAGACAGGAAGCAGAGACAGGAAGCAGGAAGCAGAGACAGGAAGCAGGAAGGAGAGACAGGAAGCAGAGACAGGAAGGAGAGACAGGAAGCAAGAAGGAGAGACAGGAAGCTAAGACAGGAAGCAGGAAGTAGAGACAGGAAGCAGAGACAGGAAGCAGGAAGGAGAGACAGGAAGCAGAGACAGGAAGCAGGAAGGAGAGACAGGAAGCAGAGACAGGAAGCAGGAAGGAGAGACAGGAAGCAGGAAGGAGAGACAGGAAGCAGAGACAGGAAGCAGGAAAGGAGAGACAGGAAGCAGAGACAGGAAGCAGGAAGGAGAAACAGGAAGCAGGAAGGAGAGACAGGAAGC